CTAAATATTTCTGCTGTAAGTTGGAAGAACACTGAGTTGTGCATTTGGAGGATAGCCCTTCCATGATATGCATAAATTGCTAGCTGTGTCCTCTCAAACAATCTGACACAATTCTAAGGGACTTTGTAAACAACATTTCCTGTTGTGATATTTTAATATGAACTTGGCTGAAAGTCTTACTATTACATTCACATTCACAATAAGAATGTAATGGCAGAAAATACAGAACAATGACATGTAATAATGCCTTGCAGTGTATTTTAAAAGTTTCCAGCAAAGAAACAAAAAAATGGAGCAAAGCTCTATACAAAGCAGCTAATCTAATTGAGTAGGAATACACTGTTTGGTTTTTTTAGTTTGTTTAGTTTAAATCAGTGTGAATTATGGTGTTCATTCTATTCCACTGAACTCGCCTAGCGTGAGAGTTGGAAAAGCATCTATTAGACATGAGCACAAATGAATCCATGGATCCAAACCATGCTTGTGTTTGCCTAAATACTGTGGGAAGCGTGCCAAAACCAGCTTGGTATGTAGTCCTATATCCAAAACAGGGTATACACTCGTGTGCTAGTTCAGCCTGCAGCTTTTAAACAGCTAGATGGGACTTCAGTACTAAACATTTCCACTGGCACAGGAGCTGGAATGCAAAAGTTTGAAATTAAGGAATGCAGAGCCCTAACCTTTAGAAGTGCATGGAAACCTTTGGTGGTTAAGGTGTATGATTTTTTTTCCCCTCATTGTTTTTCTAGTTAGCAATGGCAGAGTTTTCATGAACAGTTATTTAGTGGTGTTCTATTTTTGTTAGGTTTGGGGACCCTTACTTTGTTCCTTGGTTTTGCAAAAGAAATCAACCTAACCTCCATAAAGCCCAACTTCTTCCAGGTTGTCAATGGAAGTTTTGTAATTTACTTAAATAGAAGCCAAATTCTGACATCTAAACAAGTGCAAAAATATATTGGTTAGTAAATTGGGTCAAGGCTCGTAAGACAGTCAGAATCGTCTCCAGAAAAGATAGATAAACCCACAAATTTCCACATAACTCCTTGTGTGAAAGAACATGTAAATATGCCTCACAGGGTTTTCTGAATATCAGCAAATACCGTCTGTGTCAGATGGTCTGAAGGGTGAATTTGAGAGTAAGAGTCTGTCCGGGCTGCAAAAACAAACTATGTTTGGAAATGTATTAGCCAGCAAATTTAAACAAACACTTTTAAATACAGGCCAAGTAAGGCAAGTTGTATTTAAAATCGTGTAGGTTGACTCTAAACTCCCCTCCCTTGCTGCCAAAGTTCAGCCAGCATGTTTTAAACATGGCTTGCTCTGTTGAGTGCTATTGCATAAAGCTGTGCTCAAGTCCTTTTTGAAATGTCAATTGATACAAACAAGGCAACATCAGCAGGGTCTGTGAGCTCAGTGCAGAGCCTTCACACAGCACACTGAGTAGAGAAAGTTCCTACTTTAGCTAATCTAGTTTATCTAATCTAGTTTACCTGCATGGAAGTGTGACAGGAACTTGAAAAGGTTTCCTTAAACCCAGCAGCTTTGGTGTCCTCTGTGGATGGACCAGCTGTGTGCTAACATACCTCTCATATACATGGCAGTGACTTGCTTTGCCTTACCTCAGGATCCAAAGCATGACTGTGCTAACATGCCTCCCACTCAGGTTTTTTTTTCCCTCTAGACTTAAGTGTAAAGCTCAACATGATGAAAACCTCTCGGGGTTGTTCTGCATGAGTCAAGTATTTTGGAGAAAAAGTTAGACTGCCACAGCAGAGCCCACCTCTGATTACATCCAGCATTAAGTAATCGTATTCACACATCACTTTTCACACTCTTGGTTCATTCAGGTTGTTCCCAAGTCTTTGAGTTTCACTTTCAGTTTCAGGTTCTAATGAATCCAAAATGATGAAACGGAGACTTGAATTGAAATCTGAGCGTTTTGATGGACAAGGGTACAAGTCTAAAATGACCAGGCAGCCAGTTGTCACAACGTCACTCCTGAGGTAAAGGTAAAACTACTATTTGGGCAGCAGCAGCTTGTAATCTCCTTGTAAGCATCTGTTCATTTTTGCTTTTAGGATCAGAAAAAGAGGGCTGAATTTCCTTTGAAGTGCTTAAGAGGTCTGAGTCATGCAACTTACTGCCCTTGAATGCTAGAACTATTTGGTTAAGTTCCCAATCTTAAATTACCAAGACTTTGACAGATACAAACAATGAGTTCAGCAAATTGCTGTGTGGTGTAGGTAACAAATATGCTGGGAATGATGGACCTCTGTTGCAAACAGATCATTTTATGAAGTCACATCATAATTGAATTATAAATCTGTATCTTCTCTAAGATCTAAATCGACTCCATTAAATTACCTGTTGCAAAAGAGATGCTTCTTAAGCTTTATTATATATAGCATTGTCAGTATTGTTAGGTATTAGTGGAAAAACTCCCAAGACTTTCTCTTTTTTGTACATACAGTTTTTACGTATTTTAAATGAAAAAAATAAATATTCAAGAAAAAAATCCCCCATGATATTCCTAAAAACACATTCTTTCGTATATCTCATGGTGGAAACAGAAAGGAGATACCATGTGCTACTTTGCTTTTATATATCTTAAATTCTTATCCTTCTAGGGTCACTGTTCCACTGAGAATTCCCAACCATCTCCTGCTTTGGAAAAGCTATCCTACAGCACAGTACTGACATGCTTTGGTGCCTTGGGTGCATACAACCACTGTTTTCCTTAGCTTTATACTCCTGAGAATTTTTTTTTTTTTAAATTCCATCCATTTATTGGAAGTCCTTTCTAGTACTGTAGATCTCTTGAGATAGAATTTAAAAGAATTGCTTTTAAAGCCCTTATGGTATATGGGGACAGTATATAGAATACACAGTATTCTTTTTAACTGAAAATAAGTTTTTATTCAGTATTTATGGTGTTAGTCAACATCACAGGGTGAGCTGGTGTCTGGAGCCAGGGTTCAGAGGGGTGTTAAACACTTTGTGTACCTGTATGGAAAATGAGTCAAATGTTCTCAAAATTTATGTTTTGAATAAGGGTTAAAAATGGACAAGGAAAAATTATAATTTCCGAGACTTCCGTTTGTTGCAATCTCCCCTCTAACAAATTACAGGAAAGTCTTGAATCTAATTTAGTGGTTTGTAAATGTTTGTCTCTATCTCTCCGTTAACTATTTTCATACTAATGGAAGACAGTACTTTATACTACAGGCAAAACTCTCATGGATTTTAGTGGGAATGCTGCTTGCATATATGCTTTAAGAGCTAGGCTACAGACAGTGGGGACATGGTTTACATATTTATAAACGTATTAAAACTTTTTTAAAAGGCATAAACCAAACTGGTAAAAGCTGATTCTGCAGTGAACTGCAGTGACTTACTCCATTAGCTTTAAAAACAATATGTTTCCTTTATCAAAGAGTAGATAAGTGTGAACTTGAGATTTGTGTATCCTGCCACATTTTCACGGATTATCTCATTTCCCTCCCTTCACATCCATCTCCTCTTTAGTTCTGTATCACAATCACTTCTCTACTTTGCTTTAGTTTATGTAACCGAGGCCACTTGCCTTTTACTGTTACAATTTTTAAGTTCTAGCTACAAGTTTTCACTAGATGGCAGGAGGCTGCTGCCGTGTCTTATCAGGGCCTTTACTTGCAGAGCAACAGTTGCCCATCTGTGGGGGGGGGGGGAAGTAAACACGGTCAAGTTTTGCAAAACAGAAGAACAACAACAAAAGAATAACAGTAATTAGAAAAAGTATTCATACCCTCACTAAATAGTTCTGTTTCTGAATGTGGTTAATATTATGGGCTGGAAATCATTGAGAAGAATAGTGAGAAATGTTCTTTTCTCGACAGAGGCACTAAAAGGACCTTCTTTTATAAAGTGAGGTAGATTTACTGTTTCTGCTGTTTGTGAAAAAGTCAACTGAGCCAGTACATTGAAGTTAATTAACTAATAAATACACTGACAAGTTAAGAAAGTTACAGCTTAAATACTCAACTACTGACCAAAGTACAAAAACTTAACACTGAATGTACTGCATTACCAAGACACCAAAAGGAGATAAGACACACACTGAACTCCCTCCCTCCATATAACAAGGCAGAACTCATTGTATAATGATCAGTCCCAGCAGCATTTCAGCCAGAGGTTTTTTGCTGACCTCAGAGCTGTGGACCAAATTTGTGCCTCATGTCTAGGAGAACAGAATGCAGCTCCATACAGTTACATAAGCCTTAATAACCGTGACAAATCTTCATTGTTGCACCAGTGGGGAAGCTGTTGCACTGGACTGAGCACTGATTTTTAACAAAACTACTTTTGAACTATTATTTTTTTGCTACATGGGGCTACCAGTTGTTATTTTTAATTTATTCTGGTTTGCTCCCCTTCTATACATGGAGATAATTTCTGAAGTGTCCAGGAATTTTCAGTGTTGCTCACGAAATATAAGAGGGGATGTTTGGCATCTATTAATGCTGTTTCTAAGACTGGATAACTTTCCAAAACCAGAGATAACTCGGAGTAATGCTTTCCAGGGTTCCCAAAATAGTAAGAACATTTTCTCATGGTAAAGCTGTATTTATTCTATGACTAGAGTAGAAAAACTATCAGAAATAGATGCCTGGAGCAGCACTTCCTAATATGAGATTGAGTTTGCGATGTGCCAAGCGCACTCAAAGCCAGACAGAGACCCAAACGAGCTGAAAGACACCCATCGTGCCACAAGTTAAACCTTTAATGGCTAGGAAAATGCTTGCATTACTTGCAAGCCACCATCAAGTAATCATCCCTTTTTGTTGAAACCAACATAACCAACACCTGCAGGATCTCTGCAGAACATGCCAGCGAACTCAAACAAGCATCCCAAGATCCGCACCAGCCACTTCCCTGGACGCGGTATTTAATTTGTATCTAAGCAAACTGTTCTGCTCGCTCCTGTTCCCAGCACACCGATAGCATCTCTCTCGTGATCCTACCTTGGCGATCTGCAAAGGCTGCTTTTGCTCCTTGCCACCTTGCAGTCTAAAGCCCCAAGGCGCCCCTCCGCTCATAGCAATGCAGAGATAATCCCCCGTGCCCATGTTCCCGGTGCAGTCAGGCAGCGTTCAGATACAGGAGAACATGGGAAATTTGTCTCGCAGATGTTCAGCGAGCTGGAGATTTCAGCTGCCGGGCAGAGCTGGAGACCCAGAGCACCACACTGTTGCTGCTGCTGGGAACTGCACGAGCAAATGTAGTCATTCAGGAGAATGTAAGAGCTGCCTCGGCCCGAGGGCACAGCCCACTCTGTCGTCAGATTCCGACGCTCAGCCCACCTTCAAACTACAGTAAGTAACACTGGGGAAATGCACACAAAGAGTCTCGGCCATGAGGCAGAGGGGGCTGTGTTTAGACATGACTCTGGTGACAGCTAAATCAAAACAACAGCAAAAACAAGTGTACATTTGCCTGGGACAATTTAGGAAATAAGTTTACTTTAGTAAATGGTGCCAGGCATTTTAAACTCTAATTTACCCATATCTTGCATTTTTACTCTAAAGAAAGCAAGCAGAATCTCGAGCAAAACATCATGTACATCCTCTGAATAACTGGTACACTTAGATTGAACTGGGTTTAGCATTTTCATCTCTACCCTGCATGCACTTTCTGCAGCACTACAGGTATGCCAAAAAAAAAAAAAAAAAGCTTTATAATTTCCCTGTCTTGGAATTGCTTCTTTATCTAACCTTAGTACAGTTCAGTGTGCACTACTATTAACAATGACCTGAATTATCATTGGACCCTAATAATACCTGTTCTTATGCAACCTGTTGCCTTTCCTACCAGAGCAGGGAAGAGGATTAGTGGAATGAAGTATCAGATCTCCCTACAGATGCTATCAGTGTCTGATTTGCATTGTGGCATTAAAAGGGAACCTTACTATAAGCACAAAAGAAAATTCAGTGGGAAGTTAATTTGCCAGTGGTTCAGGCCTGTGTTCAGTTCTGTTCCCTGTTACTATCCTGTGGTCGTGCAGCCTGTAAACAGCTGAGCTCCTCCAGGTCTAGTGGAGTGGTTTAAGAGGTGACTGTTTTTCAGCAAGGGATGAATATTCCTCTAGCTGAGTGTTAAACAACTGACAGCATAAGCTCCTACTCACCTCAGCCCAAAGTCAGGTAGTCTGGCTTGAATCATATTTTGTCTAAAGTACAGTGTTCAGCAGATGGGCAGAAACATCTTTCATGTCTAGACTGATGTATGAAACAAACAGCTCTTGCTTTGAGACCCACCCATGTTGCTGGGGGCATCAGATTTTCACAGCCTCAATTCACTGAGGTCGCTGTATGAACTGCTTTTACTTGGCTGGTTCTTACACCACAGCATTGTTCTTTAAAGACAGAAAAAATATCAAAGTAGAGACAGGATCTTTTGTTAAATATTATGGGTGGAAAAAGTAGACAGGCTTTTAGGAGCTTGAGCCCTTCAGGCCTCTGAAGACACTAAGACTGGGTGGAGACAAGATCCCTGATCAAACAGAGGCCAGTGTCACTCTCTCAATAACAGGATTTAATGGGAGGAAGAGTGCTTGCTTTATTGACTACAGGTTAAAAGCGCTGGAGAAGCAAAACAAGCACAGGTTGCCATATAATTAAATACTTAAGGGGAACACTGTCAGAGAATCCAGAAAGGGAATAGCTTTAAAGGGACTTTGCTTGACAACCTCAGAGTGCAGACTCCTGATTTGAAATAATTCACTTCAAGGTGAATTGTTACTACTTGTGCAACGTTCATATTTTACTATTGTTGCTATAGCAGACAGATTTTCAGTCTTTCCCATGGCAGAATCTTGCTTTAGACAAAATTCTCTCCCTTTTGCCTAATGAAGCACATTTTTATAGATACTTCTGTGACACACTCTGTTAAATACAAAAATTAAACATTTATTTTAAGAAAATGAATCACATATTTATCAACCCTTCAAATGTTGTAAATTTATTATTAAATAAGTATGTTTAATTACTGCTAAGGTGTTTTGAGCTTGTATCAAGCTTTTATCATTTTGGTAAAAAGTGATCAAAACTGATCTCTGTTTCTGAACTTCTTCATATACTTATTGCAGAGAACAAATTAAGGAGATTCACCCCAGCATTTGGATGGCCATATATATGCTGGGAATTTGTACTGGATATGGATGCTTCTCTCTCCTTTGACCATATAACAGATCTGTGTAAAATATTAAAGCAGAATAATCTTGATTAGTCATTGCTCAGCTGGAAAAAATTTAACAGTCAGAACACCAGGATCTGTTTGATTTTGTTGTATGATCAGCAGTTGGTGTTCCCTTGGAGTTATTCCCCCACCAAGTATCTGACATCATTAAGGCAAAAGAGCAGAGGGAAGCATTTTAAATTTGATTGTGCCATAGGAAAAGACAGCAAAACAATGCCAGTGGTTTAGGCTTGCAGTAAGAAAAGCATTTGAAGTCTGTAATTAAACTATTCCCATGTTGGGAAGATCCAAAGCTTCCTAGGTCTTAATCTAGCAAAGAATACCCCATAGGCACTAACAATTCCCATTTGCCTTATATGAATTTCTTAACTGCTTATGCTGCAGCATATTTTGCTTTTTAATACTTCTCTCATCTTGTTGTACATTCTCTGCACCCTTTGGGATTTCTAAGTGCTGGTCATAAACTGGACATCAAGATAAAAGTGGGGTCATTCATGGGGTTTATGACTTTTTGGTCTCTGTAGTTTCTATAGCTTAAATAAAGTGCATAAATTTGGAGGTACTTTTCAAAATCCGCTGAAAAATTTAAAGCTAATGGCAACCACAGCCACTTAACCACTGCCCCCATCTCCGTCGTTTCACTAAAACCTAAAGATCCAATTCCAGGCAACAACTGATAAAAATTTTGTGTCAAAAAACATAACTTTATAAACTTGGCAGAAGACAAATGGCAGAACTCACCCAACACCTGTCTGTGCCCAAATACAGGGAAAGCTTTGGCTTGAACCAGGACCTCTATGATGAGGTCTTAGCACGTGGCATAGGAAGTCATCCCTACAAACATTGGGACACAAAGAATCACTTTTTCTTCTTTGAAGCTGGATCCTGCAGATTCATTTGATGTCCCTCCGCTGCTTCATGGATCAGAGGAAACTGCGACCAGGCAATCCCCAGGCACACGTTCCAGGCACTTATTTTACAGATCTCTGACATATCCACTTTTTTTTTCCAACAGATAACAGAGTAATTAGTGGTTCTTTATACAGAAGCTGTCTCCTACCTTTCGTTATCTCATTTCCTCTTCATCCTCTAGAGTTCCATATCCTTTCTGAGGTGGGGGCCTGGAACACCACATAGTTCTCAGACAGCAGACAAAGTTGGGACTTATACAACAACATGATGATATCATCTATTTTGTTCTCTAGTTGCTAACCCCAACATTGCTAACACCTAATTTGCTTTTTCAGACACTACTGAGTTTATGTGTTCGTGGCATTATCTTTTAAAATCTCGAAATCTTGTCTGATGTAGTCAGTTCAAAGCACACAGTTTTATATGTGAATTAATGTTTTTTCCCCCAATGTGTATCACCTTATACTTCTAAGCCATGTTATGGTATGGCTGCTTAGTTTTCTTAAAAGCCTCTGCTGAAGGAATTTGTTGAAAGCCTTTTGTAAATCCAAGATCAATCAGATCGCCCTCATCCACGTGTTTTTTGATCCCCTCAAAGAACTGCCTTATGTTTGTGAGGCAGGACTTCCTTTTATGAAAACCTTTTTAACTCTTCCCAGATAAGTCATATTTAGCCAGATGTCCACTGTTCCATATTATAGTTCCCACCTCTCTGTTTTGTACAGAGGCTGGGCTGACAGGCTGGTTGTTTTCTGAGTCTCTCTTGGAACACTTCATTTAAAAAATGGCTCTCTCTAATCTCACTAACAGTCAGCTATTTCAGCCTTCAATTCCTTTAAAGCTCTGTGTGGTCTTGGGGACTGCTTCTTAATTTTCTTTGCCTCATCTGCTGCCACTTGTCCATATATCTTCTTTTCTTATTGTAATAACAATTTATGATACTGAACAGTTTTACTACAAGTGGATTTATCTAAAATCTAATTTAAATCAGATATTTCTGTAGCTGAGTTCAGAAAACATTCTCCAAGTGTGAGAAGAAATAAGACAAATCTTTGTCTTTCATCCAGCAATAAAAGCAAAGCTGTCATTTCACCTACAGTTTCCTACAGTGGTACCCCAGGTCTAGGGATTCTTTAAAAATGCAAACATTTCCACCCATTCCTTAGTAATGAGGAAGAGGAAGAGACAGAGGGAAAGGGGATATCATGATCTCTAATTTATGGGCAGCATTTTACTGCTGTAAATACCCAGATGGTCTGACTTGCTCCTTCTTCTGCATTTCATTTTCTTTTCATATCTGACTCTTTTTCCACATTAAAATCCACATAAGCTGGTTCCCTAAAAATACCTATTTTAACAGCTTTCTAGTAGACCCTAACTGTGTCATCTGTAAACAATTTAAAAACCTACCCAATTTATTGTAGGATGTGATTTCAGCCAAATGGAATAATCAGCAAAGAAAAAAAGGAAAAAAAATTGTCACTGCTTATTTATTTGGGGTTTGTTCTATTGATTACATGGAAACCACCCCCCCACTCATAAATATATAGTGAGTTTAATGGAACAATAGATAAAATCACAGCCATGCCACTTAAGAAATCATGACACGCAGTCTCTTCCAAATGAAGAGAAAATGGGTTCTTCAATATATCCCTTCAAATGAGACTTCTTTTAAAAGTGTCCAGCTGGGCAATGCCAGGCACATCAGCTGATGTTATTGTCCTGAATCACTGCCTAATAACATCCCTTGTTCCATAGTTGTACAACTCAGTTACAGGAAGTAAAAGCAAATTTTGAAGGCAGAGCTCAACATCATTTTCCCCAAACCTTACAGAGGTAGAAAAACACATTTCTGCTCGATTGCTACACTTTGGTTCTCCTGCTGTAAGAAGCAACAAGGAACAGAGACACATGGAAAGGATTTCATTTTCAAAAAAGATATAAAATGGCAAAGGGAATGAAATATATTGATGGAAGGTTCAAATGCACAGCTCCAGCTAACATCCATTAGAGCTGATTGCCCTTCATTTTTTCCCATCAAATTTCTCTTGTCCTACAAGATAAATTAATGGAATCCA